AGCAGGAATAAGTAAAGGAGGCATGGAAAGAACTGACTGGCTATCGACAATCTAAGTTTTAGTCCTAGATATATTTTTATCACGTGGCCTGGGAAAAACCATATAAACTTTCTGATACTTCATATGTAAAATAGGAATAGTAATACTAGCTCTGCCTCCCTCACACATGGTTATGAGGATCAACTGACGTGATGCAAAAGACCTTGATTGAGATCTGGGCCAGTGTAAGATCAAAGTAGGCTGAAACTTCGCTCGGGCTTATGAGGGGAAACTAGCTGAGAAGGCTGTTCAGGCCTGTCTTAAACCATCGCACACTGACAGCTCCTCATACCTAACCTGGGAGACTCCAAATATCAAGACTGTTTGTTTATTATTTCTCGTAAATGGGTTGGCGAGAGAGTGGAAGTAATATTTCTTCATAAACTCTATTAAATTGTGTTTCAAAGAGCAGATGGGAATCAATGTAGCCTTGACTTCTTTGTGAGAACACCTAACTGCACAGGCTGAGTAAAATAAAGGGTACAGAGCAGACCAGGGTGGGAATCAGCCTTTGCAGAGAGATGATTTACAGCAGTATAATGGATACATACATGTAGAATTTGTAAGGTAAGACACATAAAGCAACTTAGAAGTTTTGGGTCAGTGTTCTTGGGGTTCGGTAACCATGATATAGACTTTGTAGTCAGCTCTAGTGGTTCACCTAGAGATTAAGCCTTCAGGATTTAGTTATCACCAACTAAACTCATTAGGCAGTTCATAAAATGAAATAAAAATATGTTGATTACACATATAATATATTTTTGAGTGACTAAAACTAATTCATTCAAGTAATATTTGTTGAGTATCTACTATATATTAGGCACCATTTTAATTGGTAGGGGTACATAATAACAAAACACAAAAATTTGTACCCTTACAGGTTGGAACAAATATCGGGCAATATATTTGTATGTACGTAATACATATAAACATACCTATAGTGGGTTGGATGGTGGCTCCCCAAAAGATATATCTTCACCTTGGTTTACTGGTTTAAAAAAAGAGTCTTAAAATATAATTCAGGATCTTGAAATAAGACTATCTTGGATTATCTGGGTGGGCACTAAATCCAATGACAAGTTCCTAATGAGAGAAGGGGGCATTGGTAAGATGTTATAATTTTGCAGCCTAATTAGAGGAGTCGAACCAAAGTTGATATGGCTTATTGGACTGTAAAAAGTTTGCCAGGCTTTTTATCTAACTCAGTTACCTTATTTTGGTATTTCTTTCCTGGCTGACTATGAATTTCTGTTCCTGAATGCTGTTGGAACAATTTCTTTTGTCTTCCTGCTGTTTCTCTCACTAACAAGTTAAATAAATATTGGCATGTATTCATTTGTCAGAGAGTAGGGGCAGTGGGACAGGGCAGGGCAAGGCAACTGTTGAATAAGCAGCGTGGTGATGGTGTGTGACGGAGAGTACTTTACAAGCAGTAGTCTGGGAAGGCCTAGGACGAGGCAGCACTGTACACAAAATCTGAATGATGGGAGGGAGCAGATCATGGCAAGTATAGTGTATGACTGGAAAGCACAGTCTCTGGGGCTGTGTACACTTGGGCAAGCTTAATCTTTCTGTGCCTCAGTTTCTTCGTAGGCTAATAATTGTACCTATCCCATTGCATTGTTTTGAAGATTAAATAAGTAAGCATAGGTAAAGTACTTTGATTAGTGCTCAGAATTGAATATATGTTCAATAAAGTATGTATTTTTTTATTTGGGACAAAATCTTTATAGGCAGAACAAATATTTAGTGTAGAAGCTTATAGTGAGAACTAGAGTAGCATGTTCCATGAAGAAGGCTAATAATGCTGGAAGTAAAATAAAATTGCAGTGTAATCTAATTTAGACAGTTATACTAAGGAAACGCATACCTATAGAAATAACTAATGGGATGCTCATTACAGTGTTGTTTATAAAAGAAAAAAAGAAAGAAAACCCCAACGCGTTAAAAAAAAGTTAATAAGTAAAGTGGATAAAGTAAAATGTTGCATGTCCTTATGGAAAATGTAGCTAAAAAAATGACATAGTAAGTGGCTTGTAATATATATTATCATGTGAAAAAATAGTTTGCAAATAGGTACTTACAAAAACATGTACAGAATAATCCCATAAAAATGCATGCCTATGTGGCATATGTGTACTTCCATGAAAAGAAGAAAAAGGAGAAAGCATTGATAAGTTTAGGGATGCAGAGATGAGAGAAGATGGGTCAAATATTAATCAAGGTTTAATAGTCCAACAGAGTTTAAGAGAACTGAGGCAGCTACCTCTTAAACCTGCTGCTTCTCATATTTTGTACTAGGATATTATATCTAGGCAGAATAACAAGGAATGTTAAAATATATACAGAATGATTTTCGTTTTTATCTTTTGTTCACTGCCAGATTCTTCTGAGGTCCAGAAACACCTGTGGGATGGGCTAGTTATGACTCCATAAGTGTGTACATAGGGAAAACATGTCATATTGAAATATGAGATTTAGATATTTAAGATTTCTGACGTATGACAGAGTTTGCATGAAGGCTGGCTGAGATTTATTTGCTGTGAGAAATTATGAAGCATTGAACAGCAGGGCAAAACCTGTGGATCAGATCAATTTCATCAACCTTCCCTTTTGCTCTGAAGGTTGTCATGGTGATGGTAGGGCTCAGACCTGAGAGTCTGCCAAAACAGCTATTATAAGTTTACATAAAACAGAGTTAACATTCAGAGCATTTCCCTTTTGATTCATGTTTAGACTGAGACACTGAAATATTCCTACTATGTGCTGAGACTGTATGATCAATAATAATTGAATAAGAAAATAATCATAAGGTATAGATACAAAATTTAAGAAGTATTTGTCTAGATGGATCGCAGGAGTTTTATATTTCTCCTTTATCCCCCTGGTCTTCCTCCTTTTTCACTTACCTCATATTTTCTACTTTTTTTTTTGTTTAATAAATGCTGAATTGCTTGTTTTAAGATAAAATAATCCACCCTGTCTAAATTAAAATGCTAATGGACACTGTCATACTTGCCTTTAAAACATGTCAGTGTTTCTCTCTACCGTCTACAAAGGTGGGGTCATAAGCTCTCTGAGATGTGTTCCTGCTTCTGCTTCCAGCCTTAGCACCTGCTTCTCCAGCATCAGTGCCCCATCCTCCCACCAGCATTTTATGTTCTCAATTTTCTTGTCGTTTCTAAAGTATGCCATACTGTTTCATGCCTCCTTGTCTTGTTTAGGCTATTTCCTGGACTTAAAACATCCTTCCATCTACAGGTATGTGATTAGTTTTTTTTTTCTCCATCTAATTCAATTTAGGGATCATTTCCTCCAGGAACCTTACCAACTAGTGCCTCCTCGTCCTGCCAGAGACACAATTAATGTCCTGTTTTCTCTTCTCTGAGCTCCAAGGAGCAGGAATCTTGTCTTACTCATCTTTATGCTCCATGTTCGATTAACATGGTTGATTTAAACTGAACTGAATTAAGGGAGAATTAGTGCTTCTGAGAAAAAGGAAAGGGACAAAGAAGTCTCCTTGAGCCATGCAGGGTATTTCTCCAATACTACCCTAAATGTCTTGAAAAGGTTCCTTAAAAGAAGAATATAAAAAATCTACACAGTTCTGTAGCTATTACTAATAGACTCAGCAAAGACTACATGAATTACTTGCTTTAGATGGTGCTGCAATCATACTTGCTCAGCAGATTAAGTAGCTTTTTAAATCAGCAAAGATGTAGCATGCTACAAAAACAGGATTTGGGAGCTGCTGCTATTACTGAGCAGAAGAAAACCCAAATTTATTGGGAGAGAAGCTGTAGTGTCAGTTTCTAAAACTCAAGGTGTTTGGAATTAATGATTTTTAATTCCTTTATAACTCACAAAAAAATTCCAGTTTTTCCCAGTTATTTTTTAGCTATTAATCTTTGTTCTTATTTCTTTGACTTTCA